TGTATCGGAGGCAGAGATGGGGCCAGTGCCATTTGGGAGCTATGTGCTGACTCCGGAGCTCCAGAGTCTGACGTCAGCGAGGCAAGGAACAGGGGGAGCCTGTTCCCAGTGCGTGCGTGTTCACAGAGCTGCGAGAAGGCAAGAACAGTTAAGACAAAAGGGGTGATTCGGGAGTAAGGCTTGGAGATGATTGGCCCCTCCCATAAGACATAAAGGAGGAGCAAAGACACGTAAGCCTTTGCAGGAAGCAACTTCTGCTCGTTCTGGTCGGTTTAAATTCTGAAGCTCCGTTTTGACTCTGTGCTCCGTGTGGCCTTGCAAAGCTAATTGCCAATTAGGTCTTTGGGAGCATGTCAAGGGAGATAAAGGTGGGTGCTTATCAGCCTTATCCTGAAGGACTGTGGCAGACTTCTGTCGGACTCTTTACAAACTCTTTGTGACTCATCACAGGCTGGGAATGAACAGAATTCACAGCCGTTGAAATAAAAAGAGGGTTTTTGGGACTAATTGTGTGCTTTTTACTGTCTTAGGAAGCCTAGGTCAGAACACTTGGCAACTTTAAGATGTGTAGACTCCAACTCCCATGTTGGTAGAGGGATGATGGGACTTAAAGCCCTCATGTCTTAAAAATAATTGAAATATTAAAACATTAAAACTACATAGATTAGTTCTAAGTTGGTTCTCTCCTTGGTTAGTTTGCATCCATTTTTTTCCCATCCAGTGAAAGAAGCAAGCAAGCCGACTCTATGGAGATTCTAGAAAAGCTGATTTCAGCAGCCCAAATATGACATTTCTGGGAGAGTGAACCAACACGGGGAAACTCTGATGTAGAGCAAAGCTGTCACATTCAAAAGGGCAAAAGTTACACAAATAGGCAAAGCCGGGATTTGGGTTTTACACAGCTAGCTATTTGCTTAATTATTAGGCCTAATTTAGGGCTAAAACTGTCACAGATTGTTAGCAATTTTGCCACCAAAACTTGGTAAAATGATATTGGAAGATATTATAAAAAGATCTTCAGAGGTGATGGTGTCCAGAGCTCATTGTGTCCTGGATGGTCCCACAAGATTGCTCTGGCAACCAGGTTCATATTACCATATGTGGTGGACATGCCCTGAAGCAAAGAATTATTGGAATAAAATTAAGTTATGGTTGGAGGAGATGATACAACAACATATGGACTTAAAACCAGAGCTGTTCCTATTGGGTATCTTACCGGAGAAAATAAGTAAAGATAATATATATTTGATTATACATATAATAAGAGCGGCAAGGATTGTGTATGCACAAAATTGGAAAGCAGAGAATATACCATCGGAAGGAAAAGTAATCAAAAAATTTTTTAGATTGTGCAGAAATGAATAGATTAACTATGATGGTAAAAGAAGACTCAGAATATTTTAAGATATGGAATCAATTTTATTACTGGTTAGAAAAGATATATAAATAAGCATTAAAAGAGATTGGGGGAAAAAAAGAGTTACAACTAGAATACTATATGAGTGGAAAATTTTTGTAATGGACTTGGTGAAAATGAAGATAGAAGAGACAAGAGAAGAGAAGAATTTTTTGGAGACAACACCAGATGTCACATAGAGGAAATGAATGATGTATTAAATGTTTGTTTGTCTTTAAAAAATAAAAAAAAACTTAAAAAAAAGATTGCTCTGGCAAAAGGAGAGTTAAGTTTGGTGGAGGGGAAAAAAAATGCAAGGTGAAAACTAAATATCTCAGCTAAACAATAGCCAGCCATTTATTTCTTCCCAGAGATTATTTTACCATCCATATTCACTATTCTGGCTTTTAGCTTGCAACTGTAATTCTAGCACATCTCCTTCCTTTCTTATTCCTGTAACTCAACTAATTCTGCACCTTTCGGTCTTCCTCCAGACTCACTGTGAACTGGTATTGATAAAAACACAAGTAGATGATCCATCACAGTGGTTCCACTTGGCCAAAAGCTTTTTAAGATTTCCACTGAATTATGGTTCCTTCACTTTCTTCCTTCTTTCTTTCTTGACTGCAAAATGCTCTGCTTGTGTAACCTGCAAGCCCAAATCATGTTCCAGATGAAGACACATTTGAAGATGCAAAAGTTGAGGACACAAGCAGTGCTGGAAACAATCTATTGCACCTGCAAATCTGCAATTTTGTCCCCAGGAGAGATTTGGCCTATGAAATCTCTTCCATTGGCCAAATTCTGCAGAAACCAAACATGGCAAAAGGTCTGGGAAGAAGAGGGAGGTGGGGTGTCAAACTATTTTCCAAAGCACCAAAATGCGAGACAAGAAACATTGGATAGAAAGAAGGAAAGAAACAACCTACAAGCAAAGAGAAACTTCCTAACGGTGAGAGCAATCAACCAATGGAACAGAAGTTGCCTTCAGAAGTTGTAGGTGATTCATCACTGGAGGCTTTCAAAAAGAGACTGGACAATCATTTGTCTGATGGTGAACCTATGGCAAGCGTGCCACAGGTGGCATGCGTAGCCATATCAGTGGGCACGCAAGCTCAGCTCTGGCACGCATACGTGCGCCGTGATTTTCGGGTCTTCTGGACCCACCAGAAGTAGGGAAACAGGCTGTTCCCTGCCTCTGGAGGGCCTGGGGAGTGGGGAAGGCCCGTTTCTCACCTGACTCCAGGACCTCTCTAGGAGTCTGGGGAGGGCAAAAACAGCCTTCCCCACTCCTCCGGAGGCTGAAAACGGCCCGTTTAACAACTTCCGGTGGACTGGAAGGCCGTTTTTTGCTGTCCCCAGCCTCCAGGGTCTCTCTAGGAGTCTGGGAGGGCGAAAACAGCCTTTTCCACCCCCCCGGAGGCCCTCCCCGCACCCCCTCTCCTGGCACACAACGGCAAAAAGGTTAGCTATCACTGGCATAGGGTCTCCTGCTCAAGCAGGGAGTTGGACTAGAAGACCAAGCCTCCAAGGTTCCTTCCAACCCTGTTATTATTCTATGTTCTAAGATGTGTAGAAGCCCTTTTATGCATCCACACATGACCTTCAGGGGCCAGTTTGTCCAGCAGCAGCAGCAGCAGCAGGCAAACAGAAATGGAGCTTCTCTAGGAGCCTCCACAGAGTCAACTTCCTCTCCAATCTGCACTAAGCGCTACTGAGGCCGGAGCCAAGCAGTTGGTGGCCTTGGGCTTCTGCTCTTGGCCTTCTCTGGGCCCCACAATCTTTGAAGTCCAAACTTGTTTTAGATCAGGAGAAACCAGAAGAGAAGGATCCACCCTGGCAAATCCACCAGCTGAGCTGGTTCCAGAAACTTAATCCCCACAAGAGATTTTTTTTTTTTTAATCCATTCACATCAGAAGAAATGGGCAAGAGAGAGTGGAGCGGTTTCAAATTTGCTGCGGGCAGGCTACAGCTCCTCCTTTCTTTCGCTTTCTTCCATGTTTGTGTTCTGACCTAGGTCTCCTGAGTCAGTAAAACACACAAGTAGTCCCCAAAACCTGTTTTATTTTAACAGCTGTGAATTCTGTTCATTCACAGATGGGTCCCAAATAATTGTAAAGAGTCCTTCAGGATAAGGCTGATAATCATCCACCTTATCTCCCTTGACACGCTGCCAAAGACCTAATTGGCAAAGCCACACGGAGTCCAGAATCAAACAGAGCTTCAGGCTTTAAACTGCACATAATTAACAATGTTGCTTCCTGTAAAGGCCCACGTGCCTTTGCCCCTCTTTTAAGTCTTATGGGAGGGGCCAATCATCTCCAAGCCCTACTCCCGAGTCGTCCCTTTTGTCTTAACTGTTCTTGCCTTCTGGCAGCTCTGCGCATGCGCACACTGGGAACAGGCTCTCCCTGTTCCTCTGCCTTGCTGAGGTCCAACTCTGGAGGCTTCGGAGTCAGCACGTACCTCCCAGATGGCCCTTTCTCTGCCTCCAATGCAGAGCCCTCATCCAAGCCTTCCCCAGACTCCAGGACCAGCCCATGGTCCTCCCCAGTCTCCTCACTGTCCGACTCTGCTGCCAGCTCCACAGGCTGCTGGCGGATGACAACAGTTTGAACGAAGAGAGGATGAGAACCAGCAAGCTCATCATGGGGGGGAAAAGAAGTTGTAGGAGCCAATCTGGTTCGGTCACCAGAACCAGAATTTTGGTCTTCCGAGCTTTCAGATTACAGGAGAGAGAAAGGAAAAAAACAAGGTACAAGACCAACCACATGTCTGTCATACATCAAAAACATTTCGGAAGCAGTAGAACGCAGCTTCTGAGATCTGCAAGTGGGCATTATACACCGTCCAGAGGCTACCATAGGAGGACAAATCATGCACTGCAAAGATTGCTTGGAGGTGGGAGATTCTTCTAATTTAATCTACTGGATCCCCTGAAAGGATTGCCCCTGTGACTATGTAGGACAAACGGGGAGAAAGCTAACCAACAGATTGCAAAAACACAAGTGAGTGGTTAGACGAGGAGGCCGAAACGCATTGGTAGCCTTTTATGAACAAGGACATTCAATTTTGCAGCTACTAAGATAGTTGGATGAGCAGGCTCAAAAACAGCCAGGGAAATGATTGAAGCCTGGGAAATGGGCCTCTTATCAATCAACAGGAGTGCTGATTTACAACCAGTTTATCAGGTATTAGGAGCAGAGGACTTGGTAACACAAGGAAACAACAGGCAATGACTTAATAGCTGGCCATCAACACCTCAACCAACATCTAAAAAGCCACACACAACCAGGCACCGCATAAATACTGTACCACATACAGAATAGCCCAAAGCACACACTCTGTAGAGAGAAATTCCCTGAGGGTGGGCTTCAGCATGAGTCTGAAAGCTCGGAAGACTAAACCTCTGGTCCCAGTGACTGACCCAGATTGGATCTCGCAACCTTATCCCGGGACACGTAGATTCACCTTCATTCAGAAAAAGAGAAGGGCCTAACAGCCTTCACCTGTCCTGCTGCAGGATTTATTTTGCATGGGCTCAGTCTTTGGGCATCTGCATCTCTGCAATAACCTGAACCGTCTGGAGTTCTCAAGACTTACCTGGATGTTGTCAAAGGATGCTCGGTTTGTGACATCATAGAGGAGCAGCAAAGCTGAAAACAGAAGGGAAAAAAAAGTTCAGAGCTAAAGACTGTGCAATTCAGCTATGAATATGTTGCATCTAGGAAATACCATCATAAGAATCTACATAACTTGTTCAATTGGCCATGCCAACACCCGCCACACACGTGAATTTATGGAAGCCTGGTATTCTACCAAAGAAGCAATTAACAGGCATATTGATCACGATCCAGCATATGAATACATAAAAAACCAGACCATTTGTACAACCAATCAACAAGAGAACCAATCAGCTGCTCAGAATTTAAATACGGCTCCAAATGAACAACCAATCACACGATCAACTGATCACACTGGCACCCAAGACATTTATAAGCTAAGGAGAATAAGACAAGAAAATCCTGTTGATGGTGTTACCTAGTCTGGCAACGAAACATTCAGAAGCTAAATTGAAACAAGCTTGGAGAGTGAACCACTGCCAAAAAAAGAGAGATCAAGTATCTCAAGGAGAAACTCATCCATCAGAGCAGAAACAAGGAGGACATATGTGGACCAGTTTCTATACCCTCACAGGAAGTTGGTTCTCCCTCCTCAATACTGTGCTAAAAAAAAATGCTGAGCAAAAATTGCACAGCAAAATCCCAGATTTTCCACTCTCTTTCAGTGGGATGAGGCCTAAAACAAGAACATAAAACTACTGCTTGGCTTGGAGTTCTACTTCTGAATAATTTCACAAGTGAAACCCAAGTGACCTCTCCAAAGGCTGCAGAGAGGACACCTTCGTCATCACCATCATCACAGTTGGAAGGGACCTTGGAGGTCTTCTGGTCCAATCAAGCAGGAGACCCTATACCATTCTGGACAAATGGTTGTCCAACCTCTTCTTTAAAAGCCTCCAATGATGGAGCACCCACAACTTCTGAAGGCAAAGCCATGCCACTGGTTAATTGTTCTCACTGTCAGGACATTTCTCCTTAGTTCTAGGTTGCTTCTCTCCTTGCTTAATTTCCATCTGTTGCTTCTTGTTCTGCCTTCAGGTGGTTTGGAGAATAGGTTGACCCCCTCTTCTTTGTGACAATCCCTGAGATAGTGGAACACTGCTATCATGTCACTCCCAGTCCTTCGTTTCACTAGATTAGATGAACCCAAGTCCTTTATCAACAGCTACTGAAAGTGGCCCAGAAGGGAGCAGCATCTAATCAACCATTGTTGCTGTTAGTTGCGAAGTTGTGTCTGACCCATGGACAACTTTCCTCCAGGACTTCCTGTCCTCTAACATCCCCTGGAGTCCATTTAAGCTCACACCTACTGCCTCAGTGACTCCATCCAACCACCTCGTTCTCTGCCGTCCCCTTCTTTTTTTGCCCTCAATTGTTCCCATCATTAGGCTGTCGACCTGAGGAATTTAAAAGAAACCTGTATGCTGGCTTGTTCTTTTCTTCCAGCTGAGTTGCTGAGGAACTTAAAAGTAAACCTGTGTTAATGTTCTTTCGTGGTTTGAGTTATTTTTCTTTCGCTATTTGGACCGGATGAGAGACAGAGCTGAGATAGGCTCTTCTCCGGTGAGTCCTTCCTTCTCATTAGGTGATCAAGGTATTTGAGTTTCCTCTTCAGGATCTGGTCTTCTAAAGAGCAGTCAGGGTTGATCTCCTCTAGGACTGACTGGTTTGATCACCTTGCAGTCCAAAATCAACCATTACTGATCTTGAAAGCAAAACACGCCAAAATTTAAAAAGGCAGAATTTTGATCACAACAATATTGACTTTTTTGACCATACCTTGCCAACATCCTTGGGTGGTTAGCACAAGAAATCCAGAATTGGAGGCCAGAATGAGAACTAAAAAATGTCCCCCTCCCTCTCTCACTGCACTGTCAAACAAATCATACCGACAGAGGTCAGTAGAGGTCGCCTGGAAAGAAGCATCTCTTTTGACTCAGTGGTCATCAAGCCATATCAGGAGAACCACATCTGGGATCCGAGTGTGCTACTCAGCAGACCAACTTAATCCAAATGCAAGTTAAACCCTTTGGGGATTTTCTAGAACAACATAAATGTATCTCTATTCGCCGCAGACTCCATTTAATTTTCATTATGTAGCAAAATCCCAGACATTTGTTTTAATTCTTGAACCAAGGTAAATATTTGAGAAATTAAATCCAGCAATTAAAATATGCCCAGCCTCAAATCAGGCTCTGTTGTTCGTGACGTGAGAAGCCCCCGGTGTCCGGAATAAAAGAGCCAAGCGCTCATTTGGCACGTAGTCCCATCTGCTAAGACATCAAGATGACATAAAGCATTTTGAATTCCGTTCAATTAGAATTCCATTCAAGCTTTAAACCATCTTTCTCCAGAGGGGTTTTTTTCTCTCCATGCAATTGAACCAATCACAGCGGTGAAGATACAATCTCAACTTTAATTACAAAAAGTGACAGTTACTGATAATGCTGCAAGAAATTGTTAATGTTGATTTAGCCCTGGCTCACCAGAGGGATTAAGAATGCAAGTCCAGGAATCCCAGACAGCACGGCTAAACTCTGCGGCACGTTCCTTGACCCAACTGGGAGAAGAAACCAGGTTCTGTAAAAACTCTCAAGAATTCAGCCACACTGAAACTCTAAACCTGCATTCACAAGTGCAAACTCCACCCATGAAGACTGCATGAAGTGAGTTGCATGATCCTTCCAGGCCCATTTTTAGCAGGTCCAAAATCATGTCTGAGCGTGATTAAAATTGTAAGTTTTTTAAAGACTTGCTCCCATCATACAGCGAGAATACAGATAGTTCTCGACTTACAACAGTTCATTTAGTGACCGTTCAAAGTTACAACGGCCCTGAAAAAAGTGACTTATGACCGTTTTTCACACTTACAACCGTTGCAGCGTCCCCGCGATCACATGATGAAAATTCAGATGCTCAACAACTGACTCGCATTTATGACGGTCGCTGCGTCCCAGGGTTGCGTGATCCCCTTTTGTGACCTTCTGACAAGCAAAGTCAATGGGGAAGCCAGATTCATTTAACAACCATGTTGCTAACTTAACAACTGCAGTGATCCACTTAACAACCATGGGAAGAAAAATCGTAAAACGGGGCAAAATTCTCTTAACAACTGTTTCACTTAACAGAAATTTTGGGCTCAGTTGTGATTGTAAGTCAAGGACTTATTGCAAATTTAGAAGGGTTAGAAGAATTAAGGGTTTTTTTCCCTCCCTTCTCTGTTCTCACAAATTTGCTCACTTCCAACAACTTTTTAGAAAGTGTCTCACATTATATTCCTGGCTTCCCTATTCTCTATGGGGTGTGTGTGTGCGTGTAGAGGACAGTGAGAATTGAGAATTAAGCAGGTAGAGAGAGTTTGGGATTACAAGAAGTGGTAGGGGCGTCTGCCTAAGAGCAGAAGTTTCACTGAGAAAATAATTATTTTTATTTATTTATTTATTTATTTATTTATTTATTTATTTATTTATTTATTTATTTATTTGTCAAGCATGTATTTTATGACAGATACAAGTGTAAACATAATTATGAATACATGAAATGGATACGAATAAAAGGGAACATTAGGACAGGGATGGAAGGCACATTGGTGCGCTTATGCACGCCCCTTACAGACCTTTTAGGAATGGGGAGAGGTCCACAGTAGACAGTGTAAGGTTAAAGTTTTGGGGGGTTTGGGGAAGAAACTACAGAGTCAGGTAGTGCATTCCAAGCATTGACCACTCTGTTACTGAAGTCATATTTTCTGCAATCAAGTTTGGAGCAGTTTACCTTGAGTTTGTATCTAATATTTGCTTGTGTATTGTTGTGGTTGAAGCTGAAGTAGTCGTTGACAGGTAGGACTATGGTAGATGGGGAATGTTCAAAGTATTTTGTTTAGCAAGAAGCTTCATAGACCTGCGTTGCTCTGCTCTTCACTCTGAGGGACTGGGTGACCTGATGTCATCAACATCACCTTCTTGGTCCAGCTGTCCAGGTGGCACCTGTGTTTGATCAGCCTCGTGCGATTCTCGGCTTAGTGTCTCTTGAGGCTGACCTTCCCAGGGTCAACTGGAGTAGCTTCTTCAGATTCAGAATCTGAGTCCTGAGCCCGGGTCATGACATCAGGAAGATTTCTCTGAGGTTAAAGTCAGTGGCCACATACCTTCTTGGCTTCTCTAGAGCAGAATTCGTTGCGGGACAATTCAACAAAATTATTTTATTTTTTGTCATTCACCTTTCATTTTCCCCCTCCTTTTGCATCCTTTAATGATTCTGTTCCACCATTTCTTTGATATTGTGTAGCTTTTGTCCTGCAGCGAGTTGTCCCATGGTGAGCTGGCTGTGGCAAATTGTCCTAGGCCCCTCCAGAGAGCTCTTGCGAGACTGCAGCAAGGTTGCCCAAGGGGATTTGGAGATCCTTCTAGGATCGACCCAAAGGGTCTATGACAATTCGCGATGGCCAACTCACCATGGCTAACTCGCCACAGCCAATTTGCTGCAGGACAACAGTCACACTCATATCAGTGGTGGGTATCAAAATTTTTTACTACCAGTTCTGCGGGTGTGGCTTGGTGGGCATGGCTTGGTGGGCATGACAGGGGAAGGATACTGCCAAAATCTGCATTCCCTCCCACTCCTGGGGAAAGTTACTTCAAAATCCCCATTCCCTCCCCACTCCACTAACCTCCCCTGGGAAGGAATCAAACTCCCCCCTCTTCATTTCCCCAAATAAAATATTACTCATAAGAAAAGGCTCCTAGAAAAGCAAGGAAAAATCAATCTGCTAACAAGGAACCTGCCTGATGCTCATTCCACATTCCTGCCAGCTGCATAAAGGAAACTTTGTAAGAAGAAAATAGTTACTGGTGCTCAGAGGTAATAGAAAGTGGAAGCCGGAAGTTCAGCTCCATTTACAAGCAGGCACAAAACTCATTCAAGACAGGATATTTCACAATGGAAATCACCCAAACTTTTTTAGAAACATAAAGCCCATGTTGCACAAACCCCAAAACTTCAAAAACATAGAACCATACAAGATTCCCTCCTCTTAT